ATAGGCTCTTGGGTAAGAGGCCCTCTTTTTTTTTTCCCCGAATAGCCCTTGTGTAAACCCTCTATCCTGGCAGTGGTAAGAGAACCGTCAGGATTGAGGGTTTATCTATCGGGCTGCTCCATCTATTGGTGGGGAGCGGCACGTGCTGGAAACCGGGTCCAACGTCCCATTGATACAGAACGTTGTTTGATGTTTCCTGTGGCTATGGGCTTTTCTCTTCTGAGACCCGGGTCTCCAGTATCCCATGGAGCTGCTAGAGACTTCCCTCCCTTCTTAGAGCACCCCTTATTTGTTAGCCCGGCCCTGGACAGCAGCCCCCCTGTAGAATGTCTGACCCATTTTATCCCTGAAAACCCCTTAAACCCTGTACCCTCGTCAACCCCTAATCTGAGAATTATGCTGCAATTGTAGAAGGTTTCTGAAAGCAATGAAGATGCCTGATTGTCCGAGGTAAAAAAAAAAAAAAAAAAACCTAGGGTTAGGCGCCTTGAGGATAGCCGGTGGACGGCAGGGGTCAGGAGATGGAGATGGACCCCACTGGTGCCCCCCAGTGCCCCCCTCCAGTCCTGACCCTGCTGTAGTTTTTTTGGCTGGGAAGAGTAGAAGTGCATATGGGACGCTGGACCCGGTTTCCAGCAAATGGCGTCACTTTCAATGATGTACTGTTCTGAATGATGTATCTAAGAGACGCTGGACCCGGTTTCCAGCAGGTGATGCTCCCCACCAATAGATGGAGCGGCCCGCCAGGCAAAGCCTCAATCCCAGTGGTTCTCTTACCACCACCAGGATAGAGGCCTTGCACATGGAGCCTTTAAAAAAATAAAAAAAAATAAAAAAAGGTCACTAACTTAGGGTTGACATGACTATTGCGACTAAGTTTTTAGTGACGAGCTTTACATTTTCTTAGTATTTTTACTATTTTCATTTCTTAGGGATAATTTAGATTGTGATGATAATTTTCGTTGACCTTTTTCTTTTTTTTTCAAAAAACTGCACTGTTTCATATTATACAAACCGGGGGCCCGGCTTCCCTCACATACGTGCAGGCGGCTCCTGGTTATGAGCGAGGCATCACCGGCCAAGCCCATATCGGGAGTCGCTGAGTCCCAAAGAAAAGAGAAAAGCAAGAGAAAGGCAAGAAGACATTTATATGTTCCTGACTCAACCAAGAATAGAGAAAACAGAAATGGCATATACTTCTAGCACTGTTTTGTACTCTGAATACTCCAAATACTCTGAATAGTCTTCATACTGGGAGAGCTAAGTCGAACTAAGAAAACAAGCTGAGGAATCTACAAAAGTAAAGTTCAGCCTGTGCTTCTAAGTATTTCCAAACTAAAACTATGGAAAGCGAGACTGAGCCTTCAGCAGCAAATGACTTGAGTTGTTGGAGCTGTGGAGTTGGCTGTGGGGTTAAATCTAGTGGTGCCCTCTATGTGTTTGGCCGATGATGCCTTGCCCACTGAGGGCCCCACCTAATTTTGTAAGGGACGCCGGGCCCGGTTCCCGGCTTTTATAAAGACATTGTCCCGTTAAAAAAAACAAAAGAACAGAAAACTCATGGCTCACTTTGCTTACTGTCGTCCCCTGAATATATAGTACGTAGTACGTACGTTATATATCAATCCAACGTAAAGAGTGCGAACGTACGTGTTCGTTTCGAAACGTATGGTACATTATATTTGGGGTATATGGTACCAAGTTTCCATAGGGCCCCTCTAGAATATATTTAGTATATACATCTGTCATGGTATATGGATATATCTGTCTATATATATAATATTTATACCCCTCGTTTGTTGTCCTCTTCTCTCCCTCTGCCTACAGTTTACCGGGCAGTTCTGTTTGTGACGATAATATATATATATATATATATATATATATATATATATATATATATATATATATATATATATCGTCACAAACATATATATTGACGATATATATATAACTCCAATGAAACAGTTTGTCACAGCCCCTGGTTTGTTGTCCTCTTCTCCCTCTCTGCCTACAGTTTACCGGGCAGCTCTGTTTGACTATATATATATATATGCAGTGTACACAGTACTTTCAAGGAAGGAAAAACAGGAGGCCTGGACTCAAAGTTAGGGCTTCTTTCCACCCGGTTTCCAGCAGGTGCTGATCCTCACCTATACACAGGAACATCCAGCAGGGACACCAGGGGAAGGTGCTCTTACCACCGCCCCCTACCGTCTTCCCCCGAACATAACGCATATGCATTGTATTCGAGTTTTCCAAAAAACCCGGTTTCGAGAGGAACTAGTATGTAACCGCTGGTATCTGGCGCAGTTTTCAGGGTGAAGAGGTCCCTCCCTCCCCTAAATATCCTGTTTAATAGGAACCCTCCCCACTATAACCGGAGATGGACTCGTTTTCCAGCCAAAACAGGCAGTGCAGGCTAACTTAGGCAGGGGTGAGGGGTGATACATCCTTCCTCAGGGAAGTAATCAACGTCGCCCACCCACCCCCCCCAGCCATAATGGGGGGGAGTGTGCGTGAGTCTCTTATGTATCTCTTATTGACTTGCCGGGGGAAAAGGAACCGGACTGTTGCTCCCCAGAATGGCAGGAGCAAGAACCAAG